CCTGCTGAATGGAAAAGAGAGTGGCCCCCACCACTCTCAGGTGCGTCCAGCACCTGAGCACACAGACGTGGCTAAGTGGAGAATACACACTGGGACGCAAAGACTAGTGCAAGAAAGAGAAGCAGTGTAGTGTATCTCCATAATGTACACGATAGGTTGGGTTAGATAAACTACACCACTGAAATGAGCTTCACCTGCTTCTCAGTTTTCTAATGTGGCTACTAGGAAAATTCAAATTGCCTCTGATCCTTGTGTTGTATCTCAGATTGTGGCTGGACAGTTGCTTTAGTGACTTTAACTTAAAGGACAGGGGCGGGGCCCAGCTAAGCAGGCGGCATCTCTCCAATCCACCACACCCCAGGGGGAGCAGGGTCGCCCCACGCCCGCCCCCTCCCCAGCCTCACCCGGATCTCCACCAGCTCCTCCACATAGTTGAACAGCAGAGGGTTTATCTCCCGGAGCCGGAGCACGGGCCTCGACACCATCAGCGCCAGGTAGCGCATGCTGCCACGGGACACCTGCCGGGGGCGGGAAGGCGACACTTCCGGCGCCACGCCCCCAGGCCACGCCCCTCCCCCACCCAATCCCCAGCCAGCGGGGGCTGTACCCCAGGGCCGTGCCCCTCGCTTCACCTCGCTGCGCTCCCCGCCCACCTTGCGCGGCTCGAAGTCCCAGTTGTGCACCACACGCGCTGGGATGACGGCCAGGTCGTTCCAGTGGCAGTGGCTGCAGTAGTACTGGCCGGTGTAGTCGCACTGCCGGGCCTCGCTGGGCACACCCCCTGTGCAGAGGGAAAGTGTTACAAAGTCTGGGAGACCTGCGAGGTCCCTCCCCCAGCTGCGCCCACGGCACACAGGACGAGAACCAGAGGGGCCAAGGGTTCCACCTTCCACACCCGACTCATCGTCTTCTGGGCCACCCTGCTTCCCACCAGTAAAATGGGACAGTAGGACTCCCGCCAGGCGGCTGCCAGAGGCAGAGCGTTTCTAGGATGCACAGCCTGTGAGTGGCTGCTGCGGGATTTCCCCATCGACGTGGGTTTTCTGTGACGACGGGGCCACACATGGGAGGCTGAGTGCAGCCCAGCCCTGCAGGGACTCCTAGGGGACACACGTGGCAACCTCACTCTGCCCGGGTGGGAAGTGAAAAGGCACCCAGAGCAGCCCCTTGTCGCTCCCCCAGGAAAGGAGCAGGACTCGTGCCCCGGAGTCACGCTACCCTGAGCCATCGCACGCGCCCGTTTCTCATACAGCTGTCGGCAGGGCTCCTGGCCCAGGCAGCTCCCCTCCGCCCTGTGCCCTGCTCTCCCCGGGGCACTCACGCAGAGAGATGGGTGCCCGGCACTCAGCACAGCGGTAATCCTGGCTGTCCAGACCTGCCTCGGGGCAGATGTTCAGCTCATACTCAGCCTGGTGGCTGACTTTGGACCGCACGCAGGGCTTGGAGATGAGGTTCAAACACTTGCTGTGACAGCGGTAATAACACCCTGGTTGGGGGCGCGACAACGTGCCTCTTAGAAGGGTGGTCACCCTGCGGCCCAGGCTGACCTTCAGCTGCCGGGACCCCCAGGGGCCTATACTCCGATTCTCAGACCAACGCAAGAGCCTCTCCAGGCACCACTGCAGGTTCCCAATGTCAAAGGTCCCTTCAGTTCCCGCCCAAGTCTTGCCCTGAAGGTACGTGCAGACCTTTCCCCCCAACTCCATATTCAAAGGGCCAGGGGCCTACCTGCCATTCCCATCTGGGTGCCTAAAGGGCTCAAACCCAAGCTGTCTGAGTGGAATCCAGCTCTTCCTTACCAATCCCACCCCAGTCTTCCCAGCTCAGGTTTCAGTGCCTCCATCTTTCCACCTACTGAGACATCATCCCAGTCCTTCAGCTAGGGCTGCACTTGGCCCCTTCTCATCCGAATGCCCCACCCTGGTCACAGTCCATCACTTTCCCTCCTTCAGGCCACGCTCAGCTCAGCAGCCGGAGTTAAAACCTAAGTATGTCCTGCACTCACCCGTGGCCCCAGTGCACTTACACGAAAGGCTCTAGCCACCTATGAGCCCACCTCTACCGTGCCCCCTCCAGCCACACTGCTGTGCTCCAGCCACACTGCTCTCAGCTCCTCCTCGAAGACACTGGACACACACTGACCACAGGGCCTTTGCACAGACAGCTCCCGTGAAGAAATGTTCCTTCCTAGATATACTCCTGGTTTGCCCCCAACCTCCAAGTTTTTTATTAAATGTCACATGATGCCTTTTCATTTCACCCTAACGTAGCACCCATCCCCCTCCCCAACACATACTAGTCCCTTTCCTTATTCTTTTTCACTACATGTCTAACATACCATTTCATTTATTTATTTGATTTTTCATCCAGAACAGCACCTCCAATGGAATTTTCTGCAATGATGGAAACGTCCTGTCTGCACTGTCCAATGGGTGGCCACCAGCCTCACGTGGCTATTGTGTACTTGGAATGTGCATGGTACCACTGAGCAACTAGTTATTTACTTTAATTAACTGAAATTCGAATAGCCACGCATGGCTAGTGGATGTGAGCCTGGTGAAGGCAGGTATCTGGGTCTTTCATCCCTTGCTCTACCTCCCATCCCCCCGGCGCCGCAGGGCTCAGTAAATACCGAAAACACAGCAGAGAATTCCCCCTCCTCCGGGGCCTGGAGTGCCAGGCCAGGAGCAGTCTGCTCGGCCCACCTGTGCAGGTGTACCAGGTCTGAATGAGCCCCCAGATGACGGCGTGACACTTGTCACAGGTCCGCTTCACACTCTTGCTCTTCTCCTTGCAGAACCGGTGCTCGAGAAGGACTCGGATGTTGGGCTCGTCCTCACTGGGGTCCTGGCGAGGGAGCCGGGGAGGGGTCGCAGGTGAGCCAGGCGGCAGCACTTTTCCCGCCACACGAGCCCCTTGACTGCGTCTCCCAGGAAACCACGTGTAGCAGAGGTTGTGAAATTTACCCGTGCCACAGCCCTTCCCTTACAGTAGGACACAGTGATTGGTCAGGCCGGGACCACCCGGATTACAGACTATCTTTGCGCACCTAGGTGCCGCCCGGCGGCACGTGAGCAGGGGTGAGAGGGCCTTCGCTGCCCTTTCCACATTGTGTTTGCTGGCTGGGTGCAGACCCAGAGGCAGTGGGGGGCTGTCGTGGACTTGCCAGGGACTGGCAGAGCACCGAAAAAGGAGGACCTGGGGTCTCCGATACCGATAGCTGCCAGATGGGCCCTGGGCCCCCTACAACATTTCCACATGAGTAAAACTACACAACCAATTCCTTTAAGCCACTGTATTTTGGGGTGTCTTAGCTCGTGCCATAGCCTTACCTATATTCTAATGAACATTCCACTTTCTATATTCCCAGGGACTCAGGAACCAGTGCAGGGATGTGGTGGGGCCCCAGCCAAACAGGGCACAGACTCAAGGACTACATGACGGACCCCTGCGGTGTTTGGCTTCCAGGATCCACAAGTCCTTCTGTTGTCACCTTCGGCAAACCACCCCGTGGTTCAAGGTGGGATTAACTCACCCACTTACTCCAGTGGGTGGACACATGACCCAGGACTGTGATTACCATCAGACTAGTAGAGACACAGGCTGCACCTGGGGTGAGGGCCCATCTCTCTCCCGCCTGCCTGGGTAGCTTCAGCCAGTCAGGTGAGGAGGGTGGAACCTCAGACCCGCTGCCCCAGAGGTGGCCCAGCCTCCGGACCTGTGTGCCCCAGCCCAGCTCCAGCTGCCTGGCGGGGGGCGGCCGGCACCTACCTTCAGCTCCTGGAGCTTCAGCCGGAGGTGGATGAGCCTCACCACGGCGTCCTTCTGCTTCTCCGAGTGCTCCGGCAGCTCCAGGATCACCTGCTTGCACTCCTGGATGGCCTGCCGCAGCTGCTGGATGTCAGAGGCCAGGAACAGGCCCTGCTCGGGTGGAGGCGGGAGGTGGCGGTTTGGGGACAGTGACGGTCAGATGCCCCCTGCGTGCTCTCCTTTTGGGCCATGCCCAGCCTCATAGGCAGTGGGGCCCAGACAAGACCTCCCTGGCCCTGCTCGCCCAGGTGGCCGAGGACCTGCTCAAGGCCCGGGGACCCGGGCAGCAGAGGCAGGAGCCACACCAAACCACCTGCCCCTCTCTGGACCTGTCCACCCACGGGCCTCTGGAGACCTAATTCAGGATGTTTTTCGAAACACGACTTCCCTCTTTTAGAAACCCAGTTGTTTTTCTGGCTACGCTATTTCGCTTACTTCTCCAGAACTTCCTCTTGGATGAAAGCAGGGAAATGACACTCGTCTGCCGACAAGGAGAGGCAGTGGCCTCTGGTTCGGTCACCAAGCTCAGAGACACCCCGGGCACCCACCCGCCCCTGGCTCCAGCGCCTCACAGGTGGACCGGGGTCGGGGCCCAACAAAGGCCCTAGACTCAGGGGCAGGGAGACAGGCGGGGGCTCAGAGCCGGGGCTGATCCTGCCCCAGGAAAGCAGTGTCACTGCCCTCAGGAGCCACACTCCTCCCCCCAGTACACTGAGCCTCCAGGCAAAGAGGAGGTGACACCTCTTTGGAAACCAGCGTGTGGCCCATAGGAGGGGCTCAGAAATGTTATAATAAAGATGCAAAGCACATAAATGAAATAGGCATCTGCAGCAACAAAGCGCAAAACTTAAAGGCCACACGAACAACAAAGATGAACAGCAAACGAGAACTGGGGTCTCCAGGTGAACTGGGGTCTCCAGCTGAATTTTTTAAAAATCACATTTGAATGTTACTATAACGTTTCTCTCAAAAGTTGGAGGTAGTCTGCATAAAACGGGAAGATTTTCAAACTTTAAAAAAAAATTATTAGAGCCCTTTTATTAAAAAACAAACAAACAAAAAAAGAAAAAGCAAGGTTTCCATGGAACAAAATATAGCGCAGCCGAGGGTGGCCCTGCCTAGCGAGGGGGCCGTAGGCGTGGGCGGGGGGCTTCCCCTCCCCCGCCCTCTCCCTCACCCTACAGCATGACTATAGGACTCCCTGGGACCCCAGTTGGAATTAACTCTCACATTTGCTTCACAGGACCCGGGTGCGGAGGGGAGGGAACGGCGCTCATAACAGCAGCCCAGGCTCCCACCCCCAGGTCCAGCCCGTCCCCACAGGTCCACAAACACGTTTTAGGGGTGGGAGCCAGGTGTCACATGGGCCTCAGATTCCAGGCCCAGGAGCCCCTGCTGAGGTGGACGTGGCCGGCCCCTCGTGCTCCAGGGGCTCACCCTGCCCCCTCCCCGCCCGCAGAGCCTGAACCTTACCACAGGGCGGGCAAAGTGGTCCTCGGACAGGCCTAGATCCATCGTGCGCTCAGGACAGCGGAACTCTGGCTCTCCCGGGGGCAGCTCGGGCAGGGCCTCTGGGGAGGGCGGCAGAGAGACAAGTCAGCCTGCCACGCCCAGGAGGGAGCCGTGGAGCCCACGGGAGGCGAGGGAAGCAGGGCCCTGCCCTGGCATCGGCCCTGTGTGCATTTGCAAAGGAACCCGAATCCTTGTGCAGACAGGAGAGTGCAGTGCAAAAACAGTAAATACTACAGAAACATGCCGATTTCTAAGGCCCACGCCTCGTGTGTACATCTGCGGGCTCGAGAAGGGCCGCCGGAGCGCTACACACCAGAACACGTGAAACCCCGTGTGGACACCGGCCACCTGTGCACACACACCCCCGGGGCCCCCAGCACCCCGTTGCCTCCGTCCGCAGTCTCGGGGCTCACATCCTGCTGACCTCGCACCCTCCAGATCTTGGCGCTGAGTTCACGCCCCAAGCGTTCTCCAAGTGAGCACCCGCTGTGCGCTGGGCCCTGGGACAGAGCAGTGACAAGACCGGCACACATCCCTGCCCTGGGGAGTGTTCATCCCCCAGGGGATGCAACAGGGGGAAAGCGGGTTGTGCTGCAGAGAAGAGGGGGGACCCCACGTGTCCACGGGAGGAACCCTGTAGGGGGGGGCCGGTGTGACGGGGTCAGGCCACCCGCACAGCAGCCCCCAGCACCCACCTTCAGAAGCGACCTGCAGGGCCTCCTTGCCAGGCCCCTGCTCATGCTGCCAGGGCCCGAGCTGCTTGTTGAAAGGATTGAGGTGGACCTGCCGGAACCGGGCGAGCTTCTCGTCATATTCCATAGCACCCCACCTGTGGGCGGGCGGGCCGGGCGGGGCAGAGGTGGGCATCCGGCTCCCGGGCTCGCTGCGGTCCCCTCCCCTTTCTGAGTGCCTGGGGCTTTGGAGGGGAGGCCTGGCCCCACTCCCTTCCCCAGGAGGGTCCGGGCCAAACATCCCCACACCACGGCCTCCCCTTTCAGACCCTCCCCAAACCCCAAGCCGAGCCCCCTCACCCCGGCGCCCACTGCTGGAGCCCCCTCACAAAGAGCAGTGATGTCCAAGCCGCTGATGGGGCAGGCAGGGCCAGGAGGGCGTGCCCAGTCAGACCTCCAGCACGGGCCCCTTTGATCCCGCCTGCCTCACTTGCCCTGGTAGAGCCATGCCCTCCCTGTCCACCAAGGCGCTAAAGCTGTGCGGCTCCCAGGATCACACCTGCCGGGACTCAGTTCCTCCCTTCTGGCCCTGGACCCAAGGATCACACCTGCCGGGACTCAGTTCCTCCCTTCTGGCCCTGGACGCAAGGTGCTCCTTTCCAGTCAGAGCATGCAGAACCCGCCCTCCCCGCCCCCCGACCCACCCAGCAGAAGGGTCAGTGCTGATGCCAGGGCTCAGGCCTGCTCTGCCACCTGCAGTGTGGCCTTGGGCAGTGCCCACCTCCCAGTGCCCCATGGGGAGGGCCCACGAACGCTGTGTAGTCACCGTGTGGGCCAGCCTGGCGCTGCACCGATGCCCCATGTGGCCAGAGCCCATGCCCAGCCCCACACCTCGGGACCCAAGGAAACAGGCAGAAAGTGCCTGGTTCACAGCCCGGCACTGCTTTCCCCTGCGCAGAGCTCAGCAAACCGTGAACACACGGGGCTGATGCTCCTGAGACAGAGGAAGGGACTTTGGTGGGGTTTGCCTCCCAGGTCTCCCCCACTTAACTAGCGGGTCCACATCCCTTAGCCTCTCTCTGCTTCAGGGCCAAATGAGTTCACAGAAGGTTGGACAGATGTTTGTTAAAACTTTGTAGTAAGGGCATGGATGTTGGTTATGCTTTCCTTATACCTGGTTACAGTCTGAAATAATTTGTTATTATACAAGGCAATCCTCTGACTCCTATCTGCCCTCCACCCCATAAAAGGAGAACTGAGCCAGAGTGCATGGCCCAGGGCCACCCCACCCCGCCCACTGCTGCCCTGCACCTGGGCAGGGACTCTCACACACCCCCGGGACCTCGCCTGCCTCTCTGGTCTCTGTGGTGGGATGTGGGCTGCAAGTTCCAGCCTGGTAGAACCTGGCACCCATTGACTAGCTGCCCCTAGGTCAAAACAGGGCAGGACACAGATGCCATGGGCCCAAGTCACAGTCTCCCTTATGACCTGATGTCTCTGGGCAGCTCACACAGGGTGGTCAGGCCCTGATGCCCAGCACCACCCCAGATGGCAAGGGCCACAGTGCCCTAGGAAGCCCCCAGAGCGCAGGGGAGATCCAGTTGTCACTAACAAGTGAGACCCATATTCACTAACCCCTTCTTCCGGAGTGGTGAGGAAGCCCTGAGCTGCTCACCGCCAGGCTTCACTCAGGTGAGACAGAAAGAAACTTCTGTTTAAACTACTGTTACTGGGAGGAGTTCTGTCTCTTGCAGCCAACACAGATCCTGACTGATCACCCTAACAGCCTTGTGGTCAGCAGACAAATTGGCCCTATTCATATCCCAGCTGTCAGCTCCAGCTGTGTGACCTTGGGCAAATGCCTAAAGCTTTCTGTGCTTTTAAGTTCTCATGTTTCAACCGGGGATAATAACAGTGCCCACTGTGTAGAGTTAAAGATTAAATTAATCAATACAAAGTTCTGACTACCTTGGCCAGAAATAAACACCAGCTGCAACTTATCGTTATCACTGTTACTGTTAAGAATCAGACAGGCTGCCTCTCCCAGGGAAGAGCATCTTCTTCCCCATAAATAAGGGAGCATGCCTGCCCCCTGGGGCGGGGTGGGAGGGGGGTGAGGATTAAGCACTTGTGCGTGACAGTAAAGCCTGAAACCCACAGTCGCTGCAGAGCAAACTGTCTCTGACATCACTTGATGATCAGCCCACCCCCAAGAGACTGGGGGATCAGGAGCCACCCCAGGGGTCTCGCCCCAGAAACCTCCCAGCGTTTTAAAAGATAGCCAGAGGCAGGCTTCCCTGGTGGTGCAGTGGTTGGGGGTCCACCTGCCAATGCGGGGGGCGTGGGTTCGCGCCCCGGTCCGGGGGGATCCCACGTGCCGCAGAGCGACTGGGCCCGTGGGCCGTGGCCACTGGGCCTGAACGTCCGGAGCCTGTGCTCTGCGGCGGGAGAGGCCACGGCGGTGAGAGGCCCGTGTACCGCAAACAAACAATCAAACAAACAAAAACTCAGATGTGACCAAAGTTGTTCTCAGATGAAAAATATCCTTAAGATTTTTCATTTAAAATAAAAAGCATGAATTAATTAGAAGAACGGGTCCGCGGTGGGGCCCCCTTCCCCTTTTTTTTTTTTTTTTTTTTTTTGCGGCACGCGGGCCTCTCACTGCCGTGGCCTCTCCCATTACGGAGCACAGGCTCCGGACGCGCAGGCTCAGCGGCCATGGCTCACGGGCCCAGCCGCTCCGCGGCACGTGGCATCTTCCCGGACTGGGACACAAACCCACGTCCCCTGCATCAGCAGGCAGACTCTCAACCACTGCTCCACCAGGGAAGCCCAGGTTATGCTATTTTTTTAATTGAAGTATAGTTGATGTACAATATTATATGTTATAGGTGTACAGTATAGTGATTGACCATTCTTAAAGGTTGTACTCTGTTTATAGTTATTATAAAATATTGGCTCTGTTCCCTGTGCTATACAATATATCCTTTTTGCTTATCTATTTTATACACAGTAGTTTGTACCTCTTAATCCCCTACCCCTGTATTGCCCCTCCCCACTGGTAATCACTAGTTTGTTCTCTATATCTGTGAGTCTGCATCTTTTCTTGTTATATTCACGATTTTGTTGTATTTTTTAGATTCCACCTGTAAGTTTGAGTCTCACAAGAACCATCTGAGATCATTCTTTTATTATCTCCATTTTACAGAGGAGGAGACTGAGGCTTAGAAGGCTTAGATGGTTTGCCCACAGAATCATGCATGCAGCAGACTGGAGTCAAATCCATGTCTGGTTTCAGTGCCCTGGCTCTTAACTTGATGTTCTTTAAAATTGAGATACATTTCACATATCATAAAATTCACCCTTTTAGAGTACACAGTTTAGGGACTTCCCTGGTGGTCCAGTGGGAAAGAATCCACCTTCCAATGCAGGGGACACGGGTTCGATCCCTGGGTGGGGAACTAAGATCCCACATGCCGCAGGGCAACTAAGCCCGTGTGCTGTAACTACTGAGAACGTGGGCCACAACTAGAGAGCCCACGTGCTGTGACTACAGAGCCCATGCACTCCGGAGCCTGCACACAACAACTAGAGAGAGAAGACCGCCTGGTGCAGCGAGAAGCCCAGGCACCACAACGGAAGATCCCGCATGCCGCAACTAAGACCCAACACAGCCAAAAATAAATTAATTAATTAATTTTTTAAAAAAGATAAGCAGTTGCCAGGTTGGGGTGGAGTGAATAGGCATGGTACAGAGGATCTTTAGGTCAGTGAAAATACTCTGTATGATGGATATATGTTATTATACAGCTGTCCAGACCCACAGAATGTACTAAACCAAAAGTGAACTGTAAGGTAAACTATGGACTGTGGGTTATTATGATGTGTCAATATAGGTTCATCCTTGGTTAAAAAAAATAAAGTACCATCCTGGTGAATGATGTTGACAATGGGGGAGGCTATCCCTATATGGGTACAGTGGTATATGGAAAATCTCTACCTTCCTCTCAGTTTTGTTGTAAACCACCAAGTGCACTAAAACACTGTCTTAAAAAAATAAAAATTATTCTAAAAAAAAAAAAAAAAAAAAAAACTAGAAATAGAGTTGCCATATGATCCTGCAATCCCACTCCTGGGCATATATCTGGAGGAAACCATAATTCAAAAAGATACATGCATCCCTATGTTCACAGCGGCACTATGCACAGTAGCCAACACACGGAAACAACAGTTAATGGATAAAGAAGATGTGGTCCATATATACAATGGAATATTACTCAGCCATAAAAAGGAACGAAATTGAGTCATTTGTAGAGATGTGGATGGACCTAGAGTCTGTCATACAGAGCGAAGTAAGCCAGAAAGAGAAAAACAAATATCGTATATTAACGCATATATGTGGAATCTAGAAAACTGGTACAGATGAACCTATTTGTAGGGCAGGAATAGAGATGCAGACATACAGAATGGATGTGTGGACACGGGGAGGGGAAGGGAATGGTAGGATGAATTGGGAGATTAGGTTTGACATAAACACACTACCGTGCGTAAAACAGATAGCTTAGTGGGAACCTGCAGTATAGCACAGGGAGCTCAGTTCGGTGCTCTGTGATGACCTAGATATCTGGGTGAGATGCGGCGGGATGTGGAAGGGAGGTCCGAGAGGGAGGGGATATAGGTATACATATAGCTGATTCACATCACTGTACAGCAGAAACTAGCACAACATTGTAAAACAATTTTACTCCAATTAAAAAAAAAAGTCTGAAAGTTGGAGACTCCCTCCCTCAGGAGGTATTTCCTGTAATCCCTTCACCTCACCTCTCTGGTTTTGGGCATCCCACCCAACCCCACTCTTTCTCTCTTTACCTGTGCAGCCTGGATGCTGTGGCTCAACCAGTATATAACCCTGTCCTGTCCCCAGGGAATTGCAAAAGTTTTTTTTTTTCACCCATCTATTGGACCACAGGGTGATATTTTACTTTTTTAGACTCAAACGGAATTTGTCCGGTGAGGGCTGAGCATGGGAAACATACAGCACTTAAACAAGAGGCTGTGATGACATGGGTGTGTTGTTGTAAACACCGCTGTGTCTTTATTAATGTACTTTAATTTCCTACTTCGTCCTTTATTTCTTAAAAAGTGTATGTGAGAAATGAAATCAGTAAG